TGCTATGAGTTAGAACTCAATCAACGGCACCTAACAACAACTTAAAAAAAAAAAGAAACTAGAACCCAAATAAATGAATTAAACAATCAATGAAAGTATTTATAAAAATAGACATTAATGATCCCCAATGCAGTGATACAGCAAATGAATGTATACTTCAATCCTATTATAGTAATATCCAATAATTTATGAGTGGATACATAGATAGATACGTATGCTAAACAGATGTGGGAGGTCATATGGGAATACATCTGAGTGTACATATAGGTATGACTGGATATTTCTACATACATACTGGTATATGCTGCATAATATTCGTATATATAACAGCGCACATAGGGAGCACAGTTACAGAAACTTCTTAGACATAACCAAACACCTTGCAGGACTGAGTTACAGGGCGTGAAGGCTAAGGATCATAGTCTCAGGGGACATCTAGGTCAACTGGCATAACACAGTTCATAAAGATATGTTCTACATCCTATTTTGGTGAATAGCATCTCGGGTCTTAACAGCTTGCAAGCAGCCATCTAAGATACAACCATTGGTCTCTTCCTGTTTGGAGCAGAGGAGAGTGAAGAAAACCAAAGACTCAAGGAAACAATTAGGCCAGAGGACTAATGGCCCACATGAACCACAACCTCCTCTAGCCTGAGACCAGAGGAACTAGATGGTGCCCAGCTACTACTACCAAACACTCTGACCAGGAACACAACAGAAGGTGTTGATTAGAATGCGAGAAAAATGCAGAACAAAATTCAAATTCATAAAAAAGACCAGACTTACTGATCTGATAAGAGACTGGAGGAACCCGGAAACTACAGCCCTAAGATAGCCTTCTAACTTGAAACTGAAGTCACTCCCAGAGATTACCTTCCAGCCAAATAATAGACAGGCCTATAAAATAAACAATAACGCCCATGAGGAATGTGCTCCTTAGAACAATCAACAATACAAGTCCAAAAGGGCAGCATTAGCCCAAAAGCAAAGATGAGAAGGCAGCAAGCAGAAGGGAAACCAGACAAATGGAAATGGGGAACCCAGAGTGGAAACGGGCAGAATGGTGACACACTGCAGGAATTGCAATCAATGTTATGGGACAATTTGTATGCAAATTATTAAATGGGAAACTAATTTGCTGTGTAAACTTTCACCTAAAACACAATAAAATGCTCAAACAAAAAAAAAGTATAATCTTTTTCAGAAATGTATTTCCCAGCATGGTGGGGGGTGGGGGGTGGGAGGGTACAATTACTCTGCTTATTTCAATGTCTCTGTCCCATTGGACTTGAGACTACTTTCAATTTATAGCCATGAGTCACTGCTTTTGATCATACTAGTTTCCAATACCTAGAATGCTTTATTATAACTAATCTCTCTCAGAAATGTGGCAACCATCCAGTTGAAAGTAATTTCTCCTTTCTGTCAATATTAAGTATGTTTACTGTCCCTGTTTCACAAATAACAAGCTTCTTCACGGAGACTACCTCAAGGAGAAATGGCTAGGCAGAACGACAGATGTTCTAACTCTGAGTTTAGTGCTTCTATCAGAAAAACCTATTTTCTTGTTAATCTATCATGATTCTACTCCATGGTACTAGGTTAAGGGCTCCTTTCAAAGTTCTGTCACAGGGAATAAGGTTGAGTTCTGAGTCCTAGGTTTATGATTGCTTTATGTTAAAGCTGCACCCTGAGCAATCAGCTAATCTATCAATCTGAGCTATGTATCTCTGACCTGCATCACTTCTAGTTCTGAAGATTTGGTCCCTAATTTAATCACGCTGAAGTAAACTAGACATTTCCATTAGTATCTCCAATGTTGTGTTCCACTCTGATTTTCATTTTCCTATTGCCCATCCAGGTCATCTTTTTCTTGTTCTCATGCTTTTTCTGGCAAGCTTTTCCTCCAACTCTTCCACATTTAATCTTTTTCTTCTTTTCTCTTAAGTTTTATTATTAAAAAAAAAAAAAAACTCCTTAGAGCTTCACAATTTTACAGCTTCTCAAACCTACAACTTCTTCTCCAACAACATTTCCCAGTTATTAGTTCAAACAAGAAGGATTACACTCTACAAGAGATCGCCTGGAGACTCCAAGCTCAAATATAAGCATTAGCATGTACTAGCCACTACGAGGTTGCTGTGAGTCGGAACCGACTCAACAGCAATGGCTTTGGTTTTTTTGGTTTAGCATCATCTTATCTAAGGCCAGAACCACCTTTAAATATTTAAACTTTTAAAGGTGACATATTAGGTTTATTACACTTATTTCTGATTTTAACTGAGGTTTTGTACAATCCTAAAATCATATTCTCCTTAGCATTTTTGTTAATAAGAGATGCGTTTTATTACATCTAAAATGGGCTGAATCATAAACTGACAAAACCAAGATGATTTAGAATAACTCCTTTCTTTTGACTGAGTAAGAAACGGAGGCACAGACAAGTTTAAGTGACTTTCAGTATATTCACTGACTTTTCAGAAATAATTCAGTAGTAAAAAAAAATCAAGAAATCACAACTCAAATCTAAAAGTAAGTGTCATTCAACATGTTCATGTATGAAAGAAATGTTTGGAACTTAAAACACATTTGCAATGGAAATGACATTATAAATGTTCAATGAGCTCACAGATCAGCCCACAAATATATACTTACAGGGAATTCTAGTTATTTTCTAGGGTCTTAGAAATTTAGGGAACTTTACTCTAATTTTACTTCTAAGTATATGTTCTCCTTTTGCTTGATGAAGATACGACACTACATTACTCGGCTTTTCAGATATGTTTAGTGTTATTTTTTGGCTCACAAACAAAACAAAGGAAAAAGAACTTTCCACACTAATTAAAAGACAGTAAGTACCTAATATTATAAAAGGTTAGACTGAACTTAAACAGACAGACGCACACACACACATACTGTTGTCATTAGGTGCTGTTGAGTCGGTTCCGACTCATAGCAACCCTGTGTACAACAGAAAAAACACTCCCCAGTCCTGGGCCATCCTCACAATCATTATGCTTGAGCACATTGTTGCAGCCATGGTGTCTATCCATCTCATTGAGGGTCTTCCTCTTTTTCGCTGACCCTCTATTCTATCAAGCATGATGTCCTCCAGGGACTGCTGTTGTTGTTAGGTGCTGTCACGTTGGCTCCTACTGATAGGGACCCTGTGTACAACAGAACAAAACACTGCCCGGTCCTGCGCCATCCTCACAATGGTCGCTATGCTTAAGCCCATCGTTGCAGCCACTGTGTCAGTCCATCTCGCTGAGGGTCAGGTGGGACTGGTCTCTCCTGATAGCATGCCCAAAGTATGTGAAATGAAGTCACACCATCCTTGCTTTTAAAGAGCATTCTGGCTGTACTTCTTCCAAGACAAATTTGTTTGTTCTTCTGGCAGTCCACGGTATATTCAATATTCTTCCCACACTATAATTCAAAGGCATCAATTCTTCTTCAGTCTTCCTTACTCGCTGTCCAGCTTTCACATGCAATGAGGCGACTGAAAACACCATGGCTTGGGTCAGGTGCACCTTAGTCTTTAAAGTGACATCTTTGCTTTTTAACACTTTAAAGAGATATACAAATCTATACGTATAAAAACATTCACCTGGGTAGGTTTATGTTATAGATCGATTTGTGTCCACAAAAAATATGTGTCAACTTGGCTAGGCCATGATTCCCAGTATTGTGTGGCTGTCTACTATTTTGTGATCTGATGTAATTATCCTATATCTTACAAATCCTAACCTCTAAGATGTTAATGAGGTAGGATTAGAGGCAGTTATGTTAATAAAGCAGGACACAATCTACAGGATTAGGATGTATCTTGAGTCAATCTCTCTTGAGATGTAAAAGAGAGAAGCCAGCAAAGAGGAGAGGGACCTCATTACCACCAACAACAAGAGTCAGGACCACAAGCGTCCTCTGGACCTACGGGTCCTTACACTGAGAAGCTGCTAGACTAGGGGAAGACTGATGACAAGGACCCTCCGCAACGGCCAACAGAAAGAGAAAATCTTCCCCTGGAGCTAGCGCCCTGAATTCGGACTTCTAGCCTCCTAAACTGTGAAAGAATAAATTTCTGTTTGTTGAAGCCACTTGCTTGTGGTATTTCTGTTACAGCAGCACTAGATAACTAAGACAATTTAGAACAACAACAACAGATTTTTTTTTTTAAAGTAGGAGGGGAGGGATGGAAGTAGTTGAATGACATGGGCTTGATTCTACACAACCCCCATCACCTTCTCATATCAAAATCCTCAAGGAGATAAGACAGTAAAGTGTTAAAAATTAAACTGGCCACCAAGTAGTTCCATGAGCCTAGAATAACTAGACTAGTAAGGACTGAAGAGAAAGAACCCAAGAGCAGAGGAGTCTAGGGCAGAGGTAAGCAAAATTTTTGGTAAAAGGCCAGATATTTACGGTGTGTTGTCATTACTCAACTCCGTTGTAGTGTGAAAGGATCCACAGACAAAACGTAAACGAGTGAGTTTGGCTATGTTCCAATAAAACCTTATTCATGGACACTGACATTTTATTTTCAAATGTGACTAAATATTATTATTCTCTTGATTTTTTTCAGTCATTTAAAAAAAGGTGAAAATCATACTTAGGTAGTGGGCCGTACAGAAACAGAAGGCAGGTCGCATTTGGCCTCGGGATTACAGTTTGCAAACCACCAGTCTAGGGGATAGTTGGGAAAAAGTGGAAGCAGGGTGTAACCGGTTTAATACCTAGGGGGACTATTCATGAATACTCCTGTATCAAACCCAAATGCAAAAGTAGCCCCCTCCCCGACATACATTAATGTCAGTCCCAACTGCAAGGAAACTCATATTTCACTATCTTTAACATGAAAACAGCTCCAAAAACATAATCATTAGTTCATGGGCAAAAACAGTTCTCATAAACAACAGTACACCAATCATAATTTTAAACAGACAAGTTATTCTGTAGACAAAATCTTAAAATTGTAATAATAGATAATTATTCATTACCATTTTGTCCCTGAGTCGCTCTCCATGGATAAAAAAGTCAGCACAGCCATTCTCTTCCTGGTGAGGGACTTTGAAGACAGTGACGCAGCTTAGTCCACTCCCTCCAAGTGGTAACCATCCACCACTTGAGTCATCCCGGGTCATCACCACAGCTCGTACTCGTGCATAACTATTACTAAAATAGATGCAAAGATTAGGAATTAGTTCTTCTGTAGACAAAAAACAGTCAAGCTGTCAGTCTTGTTTGAGAACTAAAAACTACATTATAGTTAATACGTGGTGACTAAAGTGTTTACTACTTCCATTGATAGTCCGCACAAAGTAACCTACTGGACAAAGAGGTCAAACACCAAACTAACGAACTTTAAAGGTTACTCTTTATTTTGAACACTAACCTCAGAATAGAAGACTACAGAACTCTTATTTCAATTCATCACCTGAATAGTTCAAGCATATCTGGTTCCATGAAACAAGTTATGAAGGACGCCCGAGACGACACTGACAAACTACGTAGGCCAGCATCAAAATTGTCTACGTATGTCCATTTGCTGTGATATTACAGCCACGACAAATCACTGCTATATGTTAGCACATTTAACAGGGACATCTCTAAGTTCCTAAAAGTTATGGAATGTCAGTAAAACACTGTAACAAACATGGTTAACTCAGCTGCTACATTTTCAATTTTTCCTACCAACTGAGAGTCTAAACTACTTACACAAATCATATAAAGACAAACGTTCTGCTTAAATAACTGATCAAGCCAATTAGTCTATAGAAACCTTTCATGCCTTCTTTTGGGTGGATTGTATTTTTAAGAGAGATGACATTCTAGTTCCATTTCAGAATCATTATTTTCCAATATTAACTATTTTTTAACCTAAAATAAATATTCTAGTTCTAAAACTTTTAATATATTACTAATAAAATCCTTCCAAATAGTAATACATCTTGTTGGCTTTTTAGAAAATTACCCTGAATAATTTAAACTTGTTTTGGTTATTATGAATATCCACTGAGGTTCTATGTGACAGTTCTGTGATTTCTAGCGTGTCTCTGAATGTTCTAAGGGTTGTCAGTTGTCAGTGTGCTTGTCTGAAATTTCCTCGTTTTTGCTTTTTTACTTCACATATTTATTTACTTTATTAAGACATAATTTACACACAGTAACATCCATCAATCTTAAAGAGACAATTCAACAAATTGTGACAAATGTATACACCTGTGTAATCAACATGCTGCACAAGCTGGAGTATTCTCATCACCCCAGAAAATTCAAATGTGCCTCCTTCCTGTCAAACAGGCAACCACTGTTCTGATTTCTAACATACAGATTAATTTTGCCTGTTTTTGACTTCATATAAATGGAATCAAAGAAAATGGTTACATGCACTCTTTCTGTCTGATTTTTTTTCATCGATATGTTGCTGTATCAGTAGCTGATTCTTTTTTTATTGCTGAGTAGTCCTCCACTGAATGAACATACCACAATTTACTTATCCTTTCTCCAGTTGATGGACATTTGGATTGTTTCCAGTTGTTACCTATTATGAATAAAATAGTTATAAACATTTGTGGAGAAGTCTTTCTTTAGACTTATGCTTTCATTTCTCTAATTATCTAGGAACGGAATTGAGGGAACTGTTTTCCAAAGTGGTTATACCAAATCCCTGGAGAAGGACATCATGCTTGGTAAAGTAGAGGGTCAACAAAAAAGAAGATGACCTTCAACAAGATGGATCAACACAGTGGTTGCAACAATGGGCTCAAACATACCTACTACTGTGAGGATAGTGTAGGACCAGGCAACATTTGGTTATGTTATACATAAGGTCACTGTGAGTTGGAGCTGACTTGATGGCTCCTAACAACTCTGTAATTTTAATTATCATTTCCCTGATGACTCATGATGGTAAGCATTTTTTTATGTGTGTACTGGCCATTTGTATATCTCCCGCTTAAATCTTTTGACCAATTTTTATTGTCTTTTTATTACTGTTTTTGAGGAAGTTTTAAAATATATTTGGACACAAGTCTTTTGTCAAAGAATAGTGTATTTTTAAAGTTTCATTGTGTGTTGTGGTTAAGATCAAGGATTCTTGAGTAAAAACTTTCATGAGTTGAATCTTGATTCAGCAATTTACTAGTGGTGTGAACTTGAGAAAGTTACTAAACTTCCCTGTGCCTCAGTCTCATCTATGAAATGAACAACAGTGCCCACCTTTAACAAACATAAACAGTGACAGACACAAAATAAACACTTCATAAGTATTAATTATTATTATCAGAGCAAAGAATTTAAAATTTAAGAAGTTGTCATTCTGGTAACTCAAAGCAGGTTGTTATTGTTGAGTGCCACCAAGTCACCTCCAACTCATAGCGACCATAAATGACAGAGTAGAACTGCCACATAGTTTCCTAGGCTGCAATCTTTACGGGAGCAGACTGCCAGGTCTTTTCTCCCATGGATTGGCTGAGCTTACATGGTTGACAACAATTCTCTATTACTGGGTCAAAATAATTCTTTATACAGGCATATCTCATTTTATTGAGCTTTGCAGATATTGTGTTTCTTACAAACTGAAGGTTTGCGGCAAGCCTGCGTTCCAAGTCTATCAGCACCATTTTTCCAACGGCATGTGCTCACTTTGTGTCGCTGTGTCATACTTTGGTAATTCTCACAGTATTTCAAACTTTTTCATCATTACATCTGTTATGGTGATCTGTGATCAATGGTCTTCGATGTTACTATCATAATTTTTTGGGACACCACAAACTGCGCCCACATAAGACGGCAAATTTAATCAATAAATGTTGTGTGCGTTCTGACTGCTCCACCCACTGGCCGTTCCCCGTCTCTCTCCCTCTCCTCGGGCCTCCCTATTCCCTGAAACACAATATTGAAATTAGGCCAGTTAATAACCCTACAATGGCCTCTAAGTGTTCAAGTGAAAGGAAGAGTCAAACATCTCTTACATTAAATCAAAACCTAGAAATGATTAAGTTTAGTGAGGAAGGCCAAGATAGGCTGAAAGCTAAGCCTCTTGCACCAGTCAGCCAAGTTGTGAACACAAAAGAAAAGTTCCTGAAGGAAATTAAAAGTGCTACTCCAGTAAACACACAAATGAAAAGAAAGTAAAGCAGCCTTATTGCTGACATGGAGAAAGTTTTCGTGGTCTGGATAGAAGATCAAACCAGTCACAACATTCCCTTAAGCCAAAGCCTAATTCAGAGCAAGGCCCTAACTCTCTTCAGTTCTATGAAGCCTGAGAGAGGTGAGGAAGCTGCAGGAGAAATGTTTGAAGCTAGCAGAGGTTGGTTCAGGAGGTTTAAGGAAAGAAGCCGTCTGCATAACATAAAAGTGCAAGGTGAAGCAGCAAGTGCTGATGTAGGAGCTAGAGTAAGTTGTCTAGAAGATCTAGCTAAGATAATTGATATAAGTGGCCACAGTAAAACAGATTTTCAGTGTAGATGAAACAGCCTTATACTGGAAGAAGATGCCATCTTGGACTTTCATAGCTAGAGAGGAGAAGTCAATGCTGACTTCAAACCTTCAAAGGACAGGCTGACTCTCTTGTTAGGGGCTAATGCAGCTGATGACTTTAAATTCCATTCTGAAAATCCTAGGGCCTTTAAGAATTATGCTAAATCTATTCTGCCTGTGTTTTATAAATGGAACAAAGCCTGCATGACAGCACATCTGTTTACAACATGGTTTACTGAATATTTGAAGTTCACTGTTGAGACCTACTGCTCAGAAAAAAAAAGTTCCTTTCAAAATACTACTGCTCATTAACAATGCCCCCAGTCACCCAAGAGCTCTGATGGAGATGTACGAGGAGATTAATGTTGTTTTCATGCCTGCTAACACAATACGCATCTGCGGCTCATGGATCAAGGAGTAATTTCAACTTTCAAGTCTTATTATTTAAGAAATACATTTTGTAAGGTTATTGCTGCCATAGATAGTGATTCCGCTGATGGATCTGGGCAAAGTAAATTAAAAACCTTCTGGAAAGGATTCAGCATTCTAGATGCCATTAAGAACATTCGTGATTCATGGAAGGAGGTCAAAATATCAACATTAACAGGAATTTGGAAGAAGTTGATTCCAACCCTTATGGATGACTTTGAGGGGCTCAAGACTTCAGTGGAGGAAGTATCTGAAGATTTGACTGTACCCGCTGCAATCTCATAATATAACTTTAATGGATGAGAGCTGCTGCTTATAGACGAGCAAAGACAGTGGTTTCTTGAGATGCAATCTACTCCTGGTGAAGATGCTGTGAACATTGTTGAAATGACAACAGAGGATTTAGAATATTATATAAACTTAGTAGATAAGTAAGTGGCAGGGTTTGAGAGGATGGACTCCAATTTTGAAAGTTCTACTGTGGGTAAAATGCTATTAATCAGCATCGCGTGCTACAGAGAAATCTTTCATGAAAGGAAGAGTCAACTGATGTGGCAAACTTCACTGCTGTTTTATTTTAAGAAATTATCACAGCCACCCCAATCTTCAGCAACCACCACCCTGATCAGTCAGCAGCCATCACCATCAAGGCAAGACACTCCACCAGCAAAAAGATTACAACTCAATGAAGGTTCAGATGACAGCAGTTTTTAGAAATATTTTTTAATTAAGGAATGTACATTGCTTTTCTTAAGACATAATGCTACTGCACACTTAACAGACTACAGTATAGCGTAAACAAGTTTTATATGCACTTGGAAACTAAAAAATTCATGTGTCTTGCTTTATTTCAATATTCCCTTTATTGAGGTGCTCTGGAACCGAACCAGCAATACCTCTGAGATATGCTTGTACAGAAGCTCTGGAAGTTTTTAGCTTTTACAGGTGACCATTCTATATAAAGGAGTCTTGGTGGTACAGTGGTTAAGTGCATGGCTAACTGAAAGGTTGGTGGTTTGAATCCACAAGCCGCTCCGCAGGAGAAAGATGTGGAAACCCAATGGGGCAGTTCTACTCTGTCTTATAGGGTCATTATGAGTTGGAATCGAATCAATGGCAATGGATTTTCTATTTTTTTTTTTTTTTAGTGAGACAAAATTTTAATAGCACTTCACAGAAAAATAAATTCAGCCAGTAAATACATGAAAACAACATAGCAATGCATTTTTTTTTTGGTCGTTTGTTTATTCCATATAAGTTTC